GTTAAGACAAAGAATGCATGGAAATACATAGTAGTTTATCGAAACCGTTGAATTATTTCGTGTTAACCAATATTTCGTCTAAAGAGTTTTCGCGTTCAACTTATTTCACTGTATAGATTTGAAAATTATATTTAAGGAGACATGTGTGCAGAAAAAGAAGATGAAATTCACAAGAAAGGTATTATGCTTGTAAACAGTGGCGCACACAAGGGGGGGAGAGGGTCCAGACACCCCCAAAACCCTTGTTTTTTTTCCGATTGACTATAATTCTAAGTATATAGTACATAAAATTTAATTCAGTATTTGTTATTAATGATTAATTTTATTAATTAATGCTAATTATTTATTCAATAATTAGTTTTTTACTGTGTTTTGTTCCCGAAAATCGACAAAATCAAAAGGAGCATGATACAAGAATGGTGAACTTTCGACCCCAGACCCTCCTTCCCTTGAAAAATTCCTGTGTGCGCTACTGCTTGCAAAGTATATTCCAATCGGTGAATTTTTTCCCCTAAGATGTGCTTTTTTACATTACTGGACTTAATTCTTGCAATGACTTCTCTTTTTGATTACTTACATTTCTCTTCTAAATGAAATTATTTCTCAATTCGGAGAATGATCTATTTAACTCAGTGCTACAATTGTTTCACTCGACTTATAGTGCCGCTGAAGACCCTGCTGAAATTTGGTGATCGGAGGCAAGTTCGGAGCCATGACCTCTCAGCAATCATGTAAAAATTAGTGCTTGAGTAAGACCAATGTAGGATGTACACAAATTAAAATTTTTAAGAGAGTTGTAAAATATTAATTAAAAATATTTAGAGTGTGTGTGTCTCATAAAAGCAATAAATGGTCACTTAAAATATTTCTAGATTGCTTATGGATATTAATTTCGATTGCTTGGCACCGTAATTTTCCTTATATTCAAATATCATTGTTTTTGTGACTCTTTAATCATGTTTTCACTGCAGCTCCGCTGTTGCCTTCGATACCTTAATAAGGCTCAAAATTACGAGGTCCATCGACAATTAGTCTCGTGTAGCTTCAAAGTGTGAGAAGTTAATGAATAATCCATATATCAACTGTTGAGATAGGGCACCCAATTAGACTAATAATAATTGTATTTGATATAGTAGAAACAATTAGGTAATTTTTCTCAAAAAAGATATACCGTAAAATCTGGCGTATAACGCGCACTATACTTTCAAGCTGCAATTTTTAGTTTTTAGGTATATTCGCCGTATAACGCGCACCTATACTTTCAAGCTGCAATTTTTAGTTTTTAGGTATATTCGCCGTATAACGCGCACCCCCTTTTTCACGAAAAAGCCTGATATGAACGTGGACAATGCTCTTATATTTTGAAGTCATTTGTTCGAGGTATTATTCCAAGCTTTATTAAAAAATAGTGTACTTTAAGAAGTACCTTTGAGTTTATAAGGTGTATTATTTCTATCAAATAAAACAGTATTTCGATTTATGTAGGTGCTCTGTTTATGTTTTATTTATGTCTATGCTCATCTTTTTTTTATTTTTAAAGCTATCATTCTTTTACCCGGTGTATAGCACGCACCCGTGAATTTCAATCTTATTTTATGATCGTGTGCATTACACGCTGGATTTTACCGTAGTAACTTCTTAGGGATTTTTTACAGTTGCTTGGATACCTGTCCGTAGAATTATTGCATGAATTGTGATTTTTCATTAGTGAACAGTCTAAAAATTCTTTCTTAGGGAGAACTGTGATTACAAGCACAATTTAACGATCATCATGAACCGAACTGAACAAAAAGTTAGAAATTGGTTGTATTAAACCGGTGCGAGCCGGCTGAATTCTACCACTAGTTAGTTTTTTTCTTATATCGAGTTAAAATGGTAAATTCAGAATAAATAAATGAAGAAAGAGAACAATTGTAACATGCGAATTACTATTTAAGGAGGAATAATGAAGTAAAAACGTTGCATAAATTAGATTTATCAGAGTTGTATCGAATAACTTAAATTACTTTTATAATCAGGGTGAACGTATTAAATCATTTTCAGTAATCGAAGTAGAAATCATTGACTATCACGAATCATTTTCATTCATAATCATTGAACCTACAGTTGTCTGTCATTAATCTTGAATATCTATATGATCAATCAACATTCACACAAAAAGTCAAATTTGTGTCCTCAAGCTTCGTATCAAGGTCATTTCACCTTAAAATCTCTCGAATTTAAACAAAATAAAAGAAAAAAAAAACTAGTTGGAATAAGCAGGATAGGAAGCTATAAATCAAATAAAGCCGTGATTCATATCGATATGCAGTGAGAAGCTTAAGCAATTACTAGAAGCTAATCTACCTATTTTTAAACTTGCATTTTATCTTACTATTTCTTTGTTTTCTTTTTTTGTTGTTGTTTTCCTTTCATATAGGCTGGCTGAAGGATGGCGTGGTAGTTTCTTGGTATTTGAGAAGCGCCATGGGCGACCGATAACGAAAATCTAGGCTTAGCTGAAAAGGAAAGGTTCGAAAGTTATTATATGATAAAGGAAAGGGCGTGCCTCTCTGCTGAAGCATTTTTTCTTTTGGTAAAAGAAATCTTAAGATTGATATAAAGCAAAATAAAGTGTGATATATTTTTAGCTGCCTTAGATGTATTTTATAGCAAAAACTTAGTAAAAATAATATTTGAATATCACCCACACACAATAGCGCACACAGAAATTTTTCAAAGAAGGGGGAGGGGGTCCACCGTTCTCGTGTCTTGCTCCAATACACCGCCCAACATATTCTTTTGATTTTGTCGATTTTCGGGAACAAAAAACAGAAAAAAAACTAATTATTGAATAAATAATTAACCTTAATTAATACAATTAATCATTAATAACAAGTTCTTAATTAAATTTTGCGTACTACATACTTAGGATTATTATCAATCGAAAAAAAACAAGGGATATGGGGGGCGGACCCGAGACCTCTCCCTCCCCTTGTGTGCGCCACTGCTGAATATAGAAAAAAGCTACAGGTTATTGATACCAACGAGGAATATGGGCGTGTGTGTGTGGTTATTTCTTTTGTATGCATCACTTTTCCAAAAAATATAATAAATTATCATCAAGTGAAAATAAAACAAACTTTACAAATTAGGCATTATACGTAAAAAATAAAAATAAATAAATAATAAAAAATAATACACAAAATCGGATTTTTTCTTGTCTTCCACATGTGCAATACTTATATTTTTGTCTCTCGCCGTGGGTTCGAGTCTTAATGTCATTAAAGCCCCACCGTATAAAGATAATCGATGCTCGATGTCCTCCCGTTGGCATGGTGTGGTAGTTAGCAGGGGAGAGGAGGTAGCCATCTTCGTTATTTGACCGATGTTTAAAATTACGAGGTCCGTCGCAAACAACTTGAGTGTTACTTCATAGTGTATCGTTAATAAACCCTAATTCATTCTTTACAAACCTTTCGAAAAAAATTTTTAAGACGGAAAGGACTTAATTCAAATTCAACCATCTCCAAAATTCAGTGACGTACAAATATACATTAATTAAATATATTTATATGTCTTTAAATTGAAATTTGAAAGGAATGCCGAGTAAAAGCAATTCAAGGGAAAATCATAACTAAGTTAACCTACATCTCAACAAATAACAGAAGGCAACAGAAGAAAAGTATTGACTGGATAACCAAAAGACAGCGAATGATTTAAGTCTCACTCTAAAGTAAAGCATAAAGACTACTGGTGACGGGCCTTGTAATTTTAAAGATCGGTCAAGCAAAAAGGACTATTCCTGAGCCAGGAATCCACTCTTCTTCCACACCATGCCAACGATCATAAGAGATTGAGGGAAGGTTTTTACTATTGTTTTTAAAATTTATATAACTTCATTACGTTCGGTTATTTATTGCAGATGATTCTTATTTATTTTGAACTTAAATCAATAAATAAATTTAAAAATTAACTGCCGCCCATCCGGTATAATGGTTAGTGACGCTGCCTGCTGTTCCGTAGGGTCTGGGTTTGAATTCTGGAGAAGGCATGAATGTATGTAAATGCACAGTACCTTCGCGGCATGGGGGTACTCTAAATAGCCGTCGAACCACAAGTCATCTCGTGAGGTTGGTGGAACGGGAAAGACGTGGGAGGCCCCTGACCACCTCCAGAGTGTCCTTCCTCACGGAATAAGGGTGGAACGGAATCAAATTGTACTGTTGCCTGTATGGTGCTCAAACATACGGCTAACGACAAGCGTACATCCAGCCCTTTGCCGCAATGAATTTCGTGGGTCTCGATTGGACAACGTCAGACATGTCACATTAGTAACTACAACATATTACCTATTTGTTTGATAAATTACTTTTACCACTTTTTAAAACTTGAATATCAATTGTTCACTTGGCCCTTACAGGTCTATAAAGTTTCTAAGAGTAAATAATGGCATCTAACTGTTTATTTTAGTTTGTTTAGAGGTTAAGTAAAAAAAAGTTAGAAGAAAAGTACATATATATCTATAACAGTGTATAATGTTTTTTTTGGGGGGTAAATCTGTCAATTCACCTTGGATCAATGTATAGTTTTATCAGGCATTTGTTTTCATTTGTCGAAATAAACTTTATTATTGCTCAAAACTATACTTATCGCATAACATAAAACAAGTGGAAAAACAATGATAGTACATTATTACGTGGCTCAATCAGTTGAAATAAGTAATAAAAACAAGTAGTATAAAAAAATTTAAGTCTCAATTCCTACTTAGGTCAAAAAAGGAAAATTTTATTATAGTTACTTTTTATTAAATAGTCATAATTAATATAAATATGTATATACGTACCAGACAGAATCACAATATTAAGTGACAGTATAGAAAGCGACTTTCCTCTCTCTCTATATATGGCGTTGAATTAACTTTTTTGTTTGTTTTTTACTATTTATTCATTCATTAAATTGAATTATTGTAATAAAATAGCATAGTAAAAAAAAAGAAATCGCATGCTTGGAAATTAGGCCATCCCAGGTGGGATTCGAACCCACGGCCTTTAGATTAGAAGTCCAACGCACGATCCATTGTGCTACAGGGACACACCGAACAATTTTCTTTTCTATATATGCTGTTGGACTATTATTTTTCTTTGTCCCTATTTGTTCATTTTTTAATTTAATTAATGGATAAAAGCTTTAAAAAAGTATTTGAATTTGAATGGATGAAAAGAAAGTATTTTATTAACGATTCAAAATTTGAACAAGATATATATATATATATATATATATATATATATATATATATATATATATATATATATATATATATATATATATATATATATATATATATATATATATATATATATATATATATATATATATATATATATATATATATATATATATATTATACACACAGGAGAGAGTGAACTAATAGTAAGAATTAAATAAAAATACAGCCCGTGAATGCCTTATCATTGGTGCCAATTGATTTGACAATTTTTTTAAGTGTTCCCGTTCAAGTAATTGTGCTCGCCATACACTCTATTTTGACGTTCATTATAAAAATACAAATTAAGTTTATAGTTACGACAATTACCCATTTTTAAGTGGGAGAAATATTTCCTTTACTAGTGAAAGTGTTAAACGTAAATTCTTTCATTAGTAAATGTAAAGATGAATTGAATCGTTGCTTATTCCAACTCTTTGGTCCCCTTATCCCCTGCCTCCAGCAAAATAATAATAATTCCGCTATGCTAAGGCATAACAAATCACTTCAGAAAATAACCAGAAAAGTGCTAATTTGGAAGAATACTTGTAATTAAAGGTAAATAAATACAGTTTGAGGTCATTTACTTAAATTTAGTCTTCATGAAAATTTTATTATATTTTTTTCACTTTTCGTTTTCCAACGGTGTTCTTTTCCAAGAAAAAATGTCGCAACTGATTCACTGTATAGTATTAGCTCCAAATTAATGTTCTCTAACCTAACCTAAATTCTTGATTAAAAAAATAAAGTAAAAAAATCGTTGAAGTAATTCACAAGTGACTTTGTATTCTGTGGCTAAAACCTTTACCCATTTAGCCACAGTTTCTTGCGCAAATGAATATAATCACATAATGAAATTGCTCTATTACACTTTATCTCAGTTCATGCATCAGGTGATCTTTTCTTCAATTAGCCAACCTTTATTGCTTCAAATCAGCGATTACCTTGCTCAGTTACCATTTTTTGAGTAATCCGCACTTAATCTTTCATTAAATCTATTCCTGCAGTCGTGGATAGCTTCCCCCGGGTTTAAGTAAACTACCCAAACCGATTCCTAACCCCGCATAATTCTAAAATCAACCTTCAGGACAAATACGAGAAGATCTCCTGATAGAGTTCACTTCGCATCATTATCCGTTTGTTGTGGGTCCATCCGGGTACATTGTCTTTTCAAATGGTATTATTTCCACCAAGAATCATTTGGGTTTCCATGCGCGGTAATATTTCTCCGCCCATGTGTTAAGAAATTACTTGCACCGAGGAGGGTTTCCATTTGTAGAAGGAATTTAAGGCAGAACAGGAAGAATGAACTAGGATTTATTTGGTTTTGAACTGGGGAATGTGCAGTTTAGTGGAGTAAATTATGGTTTAATAATTTTCTCTAATAATGGACTTCGAGTTTTACCATCTCCAGCAACATTGTATCCGATGGAATAAAACTTTTAAGAAATATTCTAAATTATTTTTAGCACGTGGAGGCAAATGTGTGATTAATTTCACTGGTTTAATCTAAAATTGTTTTGATAGCAAAAAAATATTTGATATTTTAATCAGTATTATTCGTTAGTATTAATTTAATTTTAAAAAATCGTTCAAGTTTCATTGTGGTATATTTTTCCTGCCATGGGTATTTTCTATTTCTGGCAATGAACATTATCAATATTCGATAATACATACATTGTAGAATACAAAAGGGAATACATCCTGATCGCCTCTATTGTAGAAAAAATACAAGGGTAGATTAGAATAAGAAGGGTTAGAGGATAAAGTGATTTGAGCTGAAAGGATGTTAAGATTTATTTCGCCGTTTGAACTGGAAGATATGATATAAAGATGAGTAGAAAAGAAATATATATATATATATATATATATATATATATATATATATATATATATATATTATATATTTCAGTAAAGGTAACCGGAAATTACCATACTTCCGAAAATATTATATATAAAAAAGTTTATGGAGGAAAATGAATGTCTTTTCCTTCCTTGGTTCTCTTTAGCAATAAAATAAACATGGATTTCTTAAATATATGTCTTCTTTTTAGATGATAGAATATTCCTTTTAGAGATATATTTGCCCAATTTAAGCGTATCTCTCTCTATATAAAAAAGTTTTTCATGATGCTGTAGTAAACTTATTTATTTTTTATGTATAGTTCGTAAAAATTGATCTTTTAAAATGTTGAATTTAACTGAATAGAAGCGCCTAGTGGTCCCCTCCCTCCTACCTTACAAAGCTTTCACAAAAAAATCTGCTTTCGACAGGGATTGTGATGTTATAGGTTTTTCCTGTAATATGGTAGCCAAGTTGCCAAAAATGGTTGCCAACATGGTCGCCAACAGTCGCCCTTCCGGTATAGTGGTTAGTGACTCTTAACTCCGGCGCCATAGGGTCTGGGCTCGAATCCCGGGTAAGACATGGATGTTTATATTGTAATTCTTCTCTTCTTTGTGATGGGTGCTTCATGCTTATTTCTATGTAAGCCCCCGTGTGATACCTTGTGGTGCACGGGATTATAAATGTTCTCAATAAAAAAAAAACATGGTTGCCAAGTCGCCAAATTTGGTCGACAAAGTGATGCCAACTTTATCTTCTGAATATCTATCCGTAACTCCATCGTGAATGCTACCCCCTAAACTGAATTTAAAATTAGGCTGTATCGTCCTGCTATGAAGAAATTTATGTATTACCGTTGGACTGTGTAAAGGCACAAGATTGTTAGAGAAAAATATTCTGAAATTGTGAAAAAAAATTCATCCATACACCTTTATACACAACATGATAATTACACTTAAAGTTAAGCAAAACTGTTTAAATGGTAGCGTCTTCCCCCTTTTTCTCATTTCTTTTTTACAAACTTTTATTTAACTTGCAATGTAAAATATTCGGGTGGAATCTTGCAAATCAATTTTGTAGCTGATGTCTTCAACCGATTGAGCTGAAATTTTGTATAGGCATTTAGTTTGGATGACAATGTATGTTTTGACCATTTATATTCCGATATCGCAATTAGTTAGAAAGATATTATTTAAATTAATTTGTTCGGGTGAAATCTTGTAACTCAATGTTGAAGCTGATGTCTTCAACCGATTGAGCTGAAATTTTGTATAGACCTTTAGTTTAAAAGACAATGCATGCTTTGATCATTTATATTCTGATATTGCAATTGGTTCAAAAGATATTAATTAAAGTAATTTGTTCGGGTGGAATCTTGCAACTCAATGTTGAAGCTGATGTCTTCAACCGATTGAGCTGAAATTTTGTATAGGCGTTTAGTTTGGAAGTCAATGCATGCTTTGACCATTTATATTCCGGTATCGCAGTTAGTTAAAAATATATTAATTAAAGTAATTTGTTCGGGTGGAATCTTGCAACTCAATTTTAAAGATGATGTTTTCAACCGATTGAGCTGAAATTTTGTATGCACGTTTAGTTTGGATGACAATGCATGTTTTGACCATTTATAGTCCTGTATCGCAATCAGTTAAAAATATTACAATTAAAAACCCTATTAGCTTTTTATTCTGTCTAGCATCTTATCGAATTGAACTTAAAGAAGTTCCGATTTTTCGACCTTTTTTAAAAACCCGCCTTATTCTTTCGATCAAACTGAGATAAAAAATAATTACATAATCGGAAAGATAATTTATTCCGTTACTATACTGTTTAATTCTTTTTTAAAAAATAATATTTTCTATTTTTTATCAATTTTTATAAAATACATTTTCCTGAAAAGGATTTCTTAATCCTTCCGTATGATTTTTTTCTGGTTTTAATGAATCCATATTCTGCACTAAAAAAGTTCAGGCTTTTCTCTTTTAGAATTAGTCATTTAAAAAATAAAATACCGAAAAAAAATTTTTTCTACGATCTTTCAAAAGTTACTCAAGTTTTTAATAAATTATTTAAAAACTTCATTATTTTTTTAAAGCTATTTGCAGGAAACTTTTTTCTCATTTGTAGAATAGTATTATCCAAATTCTGCACAAAGATTTGAAAAATTGGTTTAAAATTACGGATTTTTTTAAAAAAAATTGTGTTTTTCGTTTTTAATATAGTATTATAGTAAAAGCAGAACAAAAAAAAGAGAGTTTCAATATTTTGATTAATTTTGCTTTGTCCAATGTTGTTTTGCTCTTACAGTATTTACCCCCATCTCCATTATCCTCTTGTTGCGGTTCGAGTGAAATATTTATCATATGTACGTGGCCCGGCGGGAAAAACGATTGAGTATCCCTGAGCTAGCCTGTTCAAAATTAACCGGCAAACGACCTTGCAACAATGATGTGTTGAATGAGATTAATAGACTGAGAAACCTGTCCAGCGATAACTAAAAAGTTAAAAATAAATTAGAAGTAAAAAAAAAAACTTTTTAAAAACCAGCTTTTATTTATATGCTATAAAAAATAAACTTGTCTTTTAAAAAAATTTTGCTATCAACTTAGAACGTCATTACACAATTTATGATATAAAAGCTTGTCGCGAGATTTACCTGCGTAGATAAACAAGCAAATTAAACAACTTGATCTGATTGATTTTAATTTTTAAAATTTTCAAACTAAGTAAATACATGTACGCAAATCTCGTTAAATGACGTTATAAATTGATAGCAAAAAATTTTTAAAAGAAAAGTTTATTTTATTCTTTTTAGAGCATATAAATAAAAGCTTTTTTTAAATGTTTTTCTTTTTGCTTTTAATTTATTAAAAATTTAATTATTAAAATTAGAAAAAAATTTCTGACGGGCAGATGTTATTTTCACACATGCTTGACGTAGTTAGTTGTAAAATACGACCTAAGGACCCTCTGGTAATATAA